GAAGAGAGAGAAGGAAGGAAGGGAAGGAAGGAAGAAGGGAAGAAGGAAGGAAGGAAAAGAAAGAAAGAAAGAGAGAAGGAAGAAAGGAAGGAAAAGAAAGAAAGAGAGAAGGAAGGAGCGGAAGGGAGGGAGGAAGAAGGAAAGAAGGAAGGAAAGAAGGAAGGAAAAAGAGAAAGAAGGCAGGAAGGAAGGAAGGAGGAAGGAAGAAGAAAGAAAGAGGAAGGAAGGAAGAGAAAGAAAGGAAAAAGAAAGAAAGAAAGAAAGAAAGAAAGAAAGAAAGAAAGAAAGAAAGAAAGAAAGAAAGAAAGAAAGAGGGAAGGAAGGAAGGAAAGCAGGCAGGCAGACAGACAGAGGCAGGGCTGGGGTTGGCATCAAATCTGCTTTATTAGTTGCTGATGTGATCTTCTCCCCTCCGGAAGGAAAGCACATTCCACATCTGTGTTTTCTGTCCTCTAAGCAAGTTCACGGCTGGCCACTAAGGCCTAATCACAAAGGCCTGACTACAGAGGAATCGCTGGATTGGTTTCTCGTATTTTCCCAAAATAATGCTAAAATAAAAATAGTCCTAGAGAACACCCAGGAAAGAGCACAATCCAAGATGGAGGGTAGGGAGGGGGAAGGGAAGAAGAAGGTGGTGATGCAATAATAAAAGAAAGAAGATTTATGGTTTTTAGCAGCTTCTAACTTTGGGAGGTTGGGAAAAGAGGTGGGTATTCAGCAGTTTTGACCAGTTCTGGAGAACCGGTATTGGAAATTTTGAGTAGTTCGGAGAACCGGCCAATCCCACCTCTGACTGGCCCCGCCAACCCCATCTCTTCTCCGCCTCCTATTGAGTCCCAGCTGATGGGCTGGGTCTTCTTTGGTTGCCCTGCACAGGAGAACGGAGCTGGAAAACAGGTTAGTGGAGTGGAGAGGGAAGGTTTTTTTTGGTTGTAACCTTCCCTTGCTACACCCACCAAGCCACGCCCACCAAGCCACGCCCACAGAACTGGTAGTTAAAAAAACCTGAATCCCACCACTGGAACTTGGGAAGGTAGAGGGCTCCGGTTTTGAGTCTTTACAATTAGCTGAATCATCGCAGGTCGCCGTTATCGTTGTACAAATTATCCATTAACTTCCTCTGGAGTTTGGCACGCTGATGAATTATGCCAGACATTGGATGCGTGGTCTTTTCAGGAACAGTGGGAGCCTTGGTCCTTTGGCAAGCTACGTTTCAATCCAGAGTGGAAAATTTTTCCAGCTGATTTGTTACGTTCTTGAAAAATGAGGCCTTGCAATGGAAACGCTGACAGATTTAAACTCTGGTTGCATCAGCAAGAGCTGAAAGATTAATGGCCGCAGTTCTTGCCCGCAGAACGCCTGGCGCTTCGTATTCAGGTCTTGGATATATCAGGACATCCTGGTTGATGCACTTAATGTGGGTCCTTGGACACGAATATCCGAGAGACTCGGGTCAGAACCCAGGGGAGAATTTGCATCCCAGAAGAACAAGGAGAGAGAGAGAGGGAGAGAGGGAGGAGGAGGGAGAGGGAGAGGGAGGAAGAGAGGAAGGGAGACACAGAGAGAGTGGGAAGGGTGGAGAGTGGGAGGGAGGGAGGGAAAGAGAGAAGGGGAAGGGAGGGAGGGAGGGAGGGAGAAAGAGGGAGGGAAAGAGATAGGGAAGGAAGGAGAGGGAGGGAGGGAAAGAGAGAGGGAGATGGAGAGAAGGAGGGAGAGAGGGAGGGAGAGGGGTGGAGAAAGAGGGAGGGACAGAGGGAAAGAGGCGGTGGCAGAGGAACGGACAGAGAGGGGAAGGAGAAAGGAGGGAAAGAGAGAGGGAAGGGGGAAAGGAGAGAGGGAGGGAAAGAGAAAGGGAGGGAAAGAGGTAGACGGAGAAAGGGGAAAGGCAGAGGGGGAAGGAAGGGAGGGAGAGAGGGGAGGGAGAAAGAGGGAGGGAAAGAGAGAATGAGATGGAGAGAGAGGGAGGGAGAGTGGGAGGAAGATAGAGGGGGAAGGGTGGAGAAAGAGGGAGGGACAGAGGGAAAGAGAGAGGGAGGAAGGGACAGAGAGAGGGGAGAGAAAGAGGGAGATGAAAAGAGAGAGCGGGAGAGGGAGAGAGAGAGAGAAGGAAGAACAGCATTGCCAAGGATGCTAAAGTGGATGGTCTCGGCACAGATAAACATTGACCTACACGAGGAAAGCCAGTTTGGTCTAGTGGTTAAAGCACCAGGCTGGAAACCAGGAGACAGTGAGTTCTAGTCCCGAAGCAGGCATGAAAGCTGGTTGGATGACATTGGGCCAATCACCAAAGGATACTGACTTCTCCAATGCATGAGACTTCAGCTCCCAGAATTCCCCAGGCAGCCAGTGGTGAGATTCAGCCAGTTCTCACCAGTTTGAGAGAACCGGTTGTTAACGTTCTGAGCAGTTTGGCGAACTGGTTGTTGGAAGAAATCATTAGGGCAGAGAACCGGTTGTTTAAATTATTTGAATCCCACCACTGCAGGCAGCATATATGGCCCACCTATTCCCAGAATTCTGGGATGGGAAGTTTGCACATCCTAAGGTTGCCAAGTTGGAGAAATGTTCTTATGGCCATTTAGCAGAAATAAATTCATACCAGATTTGCTTCTCTCTCCCTCTCTCTCTCCCTCTCTCTCTCTCTGCAGAACTCTTTTGCAATCTAAAAAGAGGCCTATTACTCAAATCAATTCCTTATAGCACTGCAGCTTTTCACAGTCTCCTTTTTCTTTCTTTCTACGGGCTGCCAATTGCTTCAGATAAGTGCGAAACTATTCTGTTCTATGAGGAACTCACAGGAGAGATGGCGATGGACAGAGGTCAGATACTGACGGGAGCAGAGTCACGACCTGGGCTGTCCCATTTGTTTGCTTGTCAGTTTCCCTGCCCTTGCAGCGGAGAAACTTTTAACTTGGAAATGTGTGCGTTTCAAGCTCTTTGCATTTTAAAGTTCTCTGAGGGCCATTTATAGTCACACTCATTCCATTTTAAAAGGAATAGGTCTGACCTACGAGGTCCCCAGTGTAGAATGTATGTTTAGCAAAAGTATTTCTCGGGTTACATTGTCTTTATGGAAGAAGCCATAGAAAGGCCCTTTCTTCTCACTTCTTTTCGGCAGAAATTCAAATCCATCGAGTTCCAGGAAAGAAGCCACCAGGTTTAATTCCACCTCTGCTCACAGCAGAATACCCTACATCACCAGGCTTGAAATTTTGGGCTTGGACAACCTTGAACTATGCGGCCTATGGTTGGACTTAAGCATAGGACACAAAATTATCTGCTACAATGTCCTACCAGTCAATGAGTACTTCAGCTTCAACCGCAACAATACAAGAGCACGCACCAGATACAAACTCAATGTTAACCACTCCAAACTCGATTGCAGAAAGTACGACTTCAGCAACAGAGTGGCCAATGCCTGGAATGCATTACCTGACTCTGTAGTTACATCCTCAAACCCCCAAATCTTTAACCTTAAACTATCCACTATTGACCTCATCCCATTCCTAAGAGGTCTGTAAGGGGCGTGCATAAGCACACAATCATGCCTACCGTCCCTGTCCTATTGTCCCCATTTATCCGTACCTATTTCCTGTATTTTTACTCATTTTTATACTTATACCTATCATCTTGTAAGTGATTGACAAATCAAATAAATAAAATAAAAAATAAAAGAAGGAAAGAAAGGGGAAGGAAGGAAAACAGGAAAGGAAGGAAAGAAGGGAGGAGAAAAAAGGGAGAGAGGGAGTGGGAGGGAGGAAGGAAGGAAAGAAGGAAGGAAGGGGAAAGGAAGGAGAACAGGAAAGGTGAAAGAAGGAAGAAAGGAGAGAAAAAGAATAGAGGGAGGAGAGAAAAGAAGGGAGGGAGGGAAAGAAGGGAGGAAGGAAGGAAAACAAAACAAAACAAAACAATACAATACAATACCATACAATACAATACAATAAAACAAAATAAAATAAAGTTGCAGTTAAGGAATTAGGCTGGTCATTCCTACATGGAATCCACTTAAACGGAAAGACACCTAGAATTGTTGTGGAGTGAGGCAGACTCTTAATAATAACAACAATAAACAACAACAATGGAGAGAAAAAAATCACAAAATACAAAGACCGGCAAATAGAAGTAGGACAGCTGTGGCAAAAGAAAGCCAAGTTAATACCAATAGGCGCCTTGCGTGCAATCCCAAAACATCTTGAACACTTATTAGCATTGACAAAATCTCCATCGGTCAATTGCAAAAGGCAGCTTTAACAAGCACAGCTTAGATCTTTAGCACCATCCAATAAGAACCCCAATATGTTGACCAACACTAATAATGATGATCACCAATAACAGCAGCAAACACTTGAAAAGGGAGGATGAATGTTTGGTTGCTTGGTTGGATGGATGGAGACTTTCCAAGTTTCCAAAACATAGCCGAGGTCATAGGCATTTCCAAACAAGGTGAAAGATATATGTTTCTTAAAGTCATAAAATGTCACATATGTATTTGCCTCTACTATGAACATGAGGACACAAGTACTGCACAGTCTGCTTGAGCAGGTACAACTTGGTGCAAGTGTCATCATGTAGATTATTATTGCTTGCTATAATGCCATTGGCAATCCATCTGTCCATCCATCCATCAATCCATCCATCCATTTACCTATCCATCCATCCATCCATCCATCCATCCATCCATCCATCCATCCATGTAACCATCTATCCATCCACTCATCCACCCAGCTATCCATCCACCCACCCACCCATCCATCCATCTATCCCTCATCCACCCATCTACTCATCCATCCATCTACTCATCCATCCATCTACTCATCTATCCAACCAAGCAACCCACCAACCAAGCAACCACCCATCTATCCAACCAACCAACCAACCAGCCATCTATCCAACCAACCAAACAACCAACCACCCATCTATCCAACCAACCAACCAACCATCCACCCATCTCCCATCTACCCACCAATCCATCCATCCATCCTCTCCTGCATGATACCCACCTTAAAACGCAGGTGTAGAAGCCGCTGTCTTGGACTTCTGCTGTGTGAAACCAGATGGAATCTTCATCCTTGTTGATCCTCCCTTCCGAGAAGATAATGGGCTCTTCGAAATCCCCTTTGTTTTTGTACCACATCAGACGCAGCCCTGTGCTTTGTGCCATGCTGTAGTTTGTGCGGATATAGCTGTAGAAAAGAGCGCATTTCACACGCACTGGCTCACCTGCCAAGGCCATATACTTCTTGAGGTCCACCAGCCAATCAATGCAGCCATCCACTGAAAAAAAGAAGAAGAGCAAAATGTCATCCCAATTGTCTGGTTTCAAGACCCAGCTGACAATTGATCCCAGATCTCTTGATATTTCATAGTTGAGCCTGACTTGTCTAAAAATTCTTAAAACAGGACCTGACTGCGTTTCTGAGAACTCCATCCTTTTAAGATATCCTTTCTACCGCTTCATTATTTTTCTCAGTTTTTAGTTCCTTCAAAGTCCTTCCAATCTCTGGCTTCAGGGACTAATTTCCAAATCACAGCATATCAAATATAATTACAATAGGGTCACTTGTACCCAGATCAGTTGTGCTAAATTTCCATTTCAAACCCATTATCGTGTACAGTTTTGAGAAAGGTTAGGTTCAAGCGACGTCGGATGGGGAGCTGAGAACCTCCAATGTGCTTAAGAAAAAGAAGCAAAAAAGTCAAGTACTGTATGTATCTTACTCGAAAGCCAAATTAAATCCCCGCTGTAAAAGTCGGCAATTAAAATTCTACAATGTGGAGCTTGGAAAAAGCTGGACGTGACTTCCCTACTGCTCAATGAGTAGATGATTTCTCCTGATAACGTCCCCGTATTCACACAACTTCCCCTGATGCTTACACACGAATGTGGGAGGAACCAGGGGTGGGATTCGACCGGTGTTACTACTGATTCAGTGACTATATTTTGCTGCGCGCATGTGTAAAAAAAACCCTTCAGCTGTGCCACCCAGACAGCGGAAAAGTGCTGCGCGCAGGTACGCAGCATTTGAAGAGCCTCTTTTTCCTTGCTTTTTCAACCTCAGCTCTGCCACACAAAGCAGCTGAGGTTGAAAAAGCAGGAAATAAAGGACAGGTAAGAGCCCAGGTGGGCGGGTGGGCCAAACAGCAGCAGACACAGAACCGGTTTGGTGTCTGCTGCTCTTCAGAGCTACCGGCTCTATAGAACCATGCAGAACCGGTAGCATTTTGTCGGGGAGACCCACAAAATTTTAACCCTGCAGCTCTTACTCTGTTCTATTTATGGATCAGATCTGTTCTACAGTTTCTTTTTATGACATAGCCAACATCAGAGGGAAAATTTGGGAAGTTCTAACAGCTCTGCCAAGAACACTGTGCTATCCAATTCCTGAGTCCGTTTTGATTCGAGGTTGATGTAGAAAGAATTTTCAAAAATTGCATTCAAGTTATCATGCCTTGCTTGTCCTCCCTCATTCTTTTTTCCTTCATTGCTGTGTCATAAATACCTCCTGCAAGCCCTTCTAATCATGAACAGGGGTGATGGATTGCAATGCACATATAATCCTTTCACAATGGTGCCTCTACCCTTCCATGCACAAATATTGTCCTGAGGAGAAATGCTAGCAAAGCTACATCCTAGCTCTGGAGACAAAAGGCAGGGGGCGGAGTTTCAGATTCAGATTAATAGAGTTGGAAGGGACCTGGTAGGTCATCTAGTCCAACCCCCACCCCACCCAAGCAGGAGACCCCACACCATTTGTGATAGATGGCAGACCAGTGTCTTCTTGAAAGCTTCCAGTGACGAAGCTCCCACAACTTCCGAAGGCAAAAGCTAGTTGGTTGTCGGTGAAAGGGGGTGGCGCAGTGGCTCAGCGGTTAAGATGCTAGATTTGGTGGCTGGAAAACCAGCAGCCAGGTTCGAGACCCAAGCGTTGTGTGACGGGGTGACTTCCCATCCTCACCTCAGCTCCTGCCAACCTAGCAGTTCAAAAGCATGTAGGTCTGAGTAGATAAACTGGTACCACTTTGGTGGGAAGGTAACAGAGCTCTGTGACATCATGCTGGCAGAAATTGTCTTCCAACACACTGGCTCGAGGCCTCAAAATGGAGATTGCTCCCATAGTCAGCAATTAGCGGAGTCAAATCCACAGGGCCTCCTTCCCAATGAAAAGGAGTTTGCAAGTAAGAGACCAAATTCTACTGGGATTTACATTTTTGCATAATGATGTCTTTGCACAAGCAATGCCATTTGCATTGACTGCATCTCTGAAACATTATTTGATTTGCCCGATTTTGGGGAATAATGGATACACTCACCCATTAGCTCATTCAAATGATATTTCATTAAACTACAGTTAAGCATTGGAAGTAAATTATTCATAAAACCTAACTTCCTTTCTCCTGGGAATAACTTTTTCTGATTCTTCTTTATACTGTGCATTAGGATGGTACACAGGCTATAAATATTTTATTAAATTAAATATTTGCTAGTCTCTTCGTGTGTCATGCATAAAAGACCATTAAAAAAACTTCCCAGCAAAAAACATAAATTAAGGGAAACATATTTAAAAAAAAAACACTGGGAGGTTCCTGAATGAGGTTAACAAGGGATTAAATATTTATTTTGGATGCTTAAAGAACCTTGTCTGAATGGCTTATAAAACAGATCTTGCCAATAATGCTTTAGATTTTTTAAAAAGGCACAATTTTGTATTCATCCAGCTCTTGGGCTGAATAGCAGATACGATTTTGTGTAAAGGAAAGTTTGTTCAAGTTGATCCTTGAGAGATTCCACACATACAAAGCATTCTCCTTGTTGCTTTGTTGTTGCTCAGACAGCAGAAATGTTTGCTCTCCTCATAACATTTCATCATTCGTAATGTTGACCCTGACAATAAGTGACTTTCTAGTCAGTCTTTGGATTGTGCAGACCAGAAGCTTGTAGCAATGGAGATTATAAACATAGAGGGGGAGGAGGGGGAGGAGGAGGAGGAGGAGGAGGAGGAGGAGGAAAGAAGGAGAAGGAGAAGGAGAAGGAGAAGGAGAAGGAGAAGGAGAAAAAGAAGAAGAAGAAGAAGAAGAAGAAGAAGAAGAAGAAGAAGAAGAAGAAGAAGAAGAAGAAGAAGAGCAGTAGCAACAACAATTAGTTCAAAGAATGTTGGCCAACGGACCAAGGCAAAATGAGTAGGTTTTGACTTAGTGGCTTGGAGCTGCTAATCAGTGCAC